ACAAATGCCAGTCACAGAAACAATGAGGTTGGAAAACACCTCTGAGACTGATTCCAACCCATGACCAAACACCACCTTGTCAAAGGGACCATGGCACTGAGTGCCACATCCAGCCTTTCCATAAACACCTCCAGGGACGGTGATTCCACCATCCCTCTGTGCAATCCATTCCACTGTCAAACCACCCTTTCTGTGAAGAAATTCCTCCTAATGCCCGACTTAAAATTCCCCTGGTGCAACTTGAGGCCATTTCCTCTTGTCCTATCCCTTATTACCCAGGAGACCAACCCCGCCCTGGCTACAAGCCCTTTTCAGGCAGTTGGAGAGAGAGAGATAAGGCCTCTCCCCTTGAGCCTCCCCTTCTCCAGTCTAAACCACCCCAGCAGCTCCTCAGTCCCTTTACTGCACACAGAGCCAAAGGGATCGGCCGCTTCAGTCACCCAGAGATGCTCTGTGCTGCACGGCACAGCACTGCCAGCTTCGCGGGGATGCTGCACCTCAAGGCAGGGCGAGGTTCTCTCTGTCAGCAGCAGGGCGAGGGACACGCCAGGAGCAAAAAGCAAGTAAATAGTTCAGTCCACAATTCGTGGGAGTTTTTTATAAATTTCGGCAGAGCAGCCCTCGGTCCCGAGCACCCCGGTGTCGAGCACCCGGGTCCCGGGGTGCCCCGGGCACTTACCCTTGTGGTGGGTGATCATGAGGACGATGGGCACGGAGGGCCGGTCGCTGAACACCTCCGCCTTCTGCACCAGCGCCTCCCGCACCGCCCCGAAAGTGTTGAGGATGATGAATGGGCGGCTGCCCACGAAGAGCCGGAAGATGCTGCCGTACATCTTGGTGAGGCCGGTGAGGAAGACATGGGGCGAGAAGGCGGGGGAGACCCGGTTGCCCTTCACATCCACCGCCCACCTGCGCAGCAGCGGAGGCGGCAGAAGGGCGAAGGCGAAGTTGCCCACGAGCGGCCAGGGCGCGGGGCCCGGCGGCAGCCCCGACAGCGCCCGCGGCCACCGCCGCAGCAGCCAGTAGCAGCCGAGCCAGCATAGGGCCACCAGCAGCAGCTCGGTGGCCGTGGGCGGCCGCAGCAGCCACGTCCGAGCTTCCGTGCTCGTCCCCGCCATCTCCCCGTGCAGCGGGACCGGCGGGCTCGGCTCGCCGCCGGCGCGTAGCGGTTTAAGATGGCGGGGGCGGGCGGGAGGCGAGGCCGGCGGCGCCCTGACCCCGGCCCGCCGGGCTGAGGGCGGGAGCGGGGCCCGGCCCGACACCGCCCCCGCGCCCGGCAGGACGTGACAGAGCCCCAGTTTATAAAGGATTAAACATTAACCCGCGTGTCCTGCTCGTGTAAATAAAACAACTATGACAACAAAAGTGAGCGCTCCTCCCCACCCCCCCTCCCGCAGGACTTGCTTTCAAATGCTCCTCACGCAAATACCTATTTGTTTTTAGCGGTTTAGAAGGGAAGGAACTGCAGATAATCTTTTTTTCCCGTTCCCAAACACAAAAACCCGGCAGTTCGAAACTTTCTGTTTCCAGGCCAAAGACGAACTTAGAATCATGTCCCAGCTCTTAAATTTTAGAGGAAAGGGCACTTAAATTTTAGAGGAAAAAGACATGTAGCTCTCCTTCTTTCTCTCCAATAAAACAGCAATAAAAAACCCCCAAACCCAGACACAAAAACCCAAACCACACCCAAACACCCCAGTCCCCCAAACCCACCCAGAACTGGTTTTGAGGGTAACTTACCCCTCCCTCTAGTAAACACCTTCGTGTGCTTTCCCCAGCTGACCAGCAATACGAAATTTAACCCCTAGAGAGGTAATTAGACATCAAAACCTGCCACTGCCTGGTCTACCCAATAATTTACTGCAGCACCAGTGGGTTTAGTAAGTGCTCTTGATATACTCTAACAGAGAAAAGTATTCATGTTTTGCCCACAGTGCTCCTTCTATAAAGTGATCCCAAAAAAAACCCAAAAAAATCGACAGAATAAAGGGAGTTTTCCCATTAAAAAGGGTTTTGCTAAACAAACTATTTTTTTAAAACAGTTGAACATTCAGTAAGGATAGTGACAAGTTGCTCATAAAATAGTGGCTGAACTGTATTAAAAAGGTTTTATTGCAATTATACAGAAGTTACAGCAAATTCAGAAATACATAAAGGTTTAAATAGTCAAGGTCAATTTTCCTCTGAGCAATTAAGGCAACTGTCTCTTTAATCTGAACAGCAAGTGGACATTTTACCAGCCATGGATTGAACAAAAGACAAAAACTAAGAACAGATTTAGACTGGCAGAGTAGAATACAGCTTTTATTTTGTCCATATTTGTCAAATTCAGCAGCTAGTTACAATGTATACAAATAAAACGCATCTATTAGAAAAAAATATATAAAAACAGATGAAAATTTAGCTGAACTAAAGATATTTTAAATCTGAGTCTCCAGAAAAGTTTAAGTTCCGTAGTGTGAAAATAAGAAGGTAAGGTATTCAGCACAGCTGAAACACATTACTGTTTTTGTCTATTTTCTTCGTACAAGAGTAATCTAGCCTCACTTCCTTCTCAGTCTAGTCAAGAAGCTGAACTAGATTTAAAAAATGCCTTCCTTCCCTGTGTATGCAGCTGGAAGTTTGGTTTCAGTGGTATATGGCCAATTCTAGGATGCCCACAGATTAAATTGCACATTTTGATAGGAAGTATGATTAATTTCAAAAATTTAAGTGATAAAATATAACTTTTCCTCTAACATACCAGTACATAAGTGGATTTTTCAAGTTAAAATAATAGCTGTTGCAACATTAAAATCAGTTCCTCCAATTTAAAATTAGAACCAAGTAGCCTCTTTGTGAAGCATGAAACTAACAGCAAAACATATCCAAGTACTTCACTAATATTCTGCATACCCCTAATAACTACATATACAAGCTTTAGCACTACAGTACTTTCCATGGAAATCCTTCCTGTTCAGTCCTAGTAATAAAAAACACACCCCCTTTAATTCTGCACTTGAGGAAACACAGTTCTTCAAACTCTTTTACCCCTAACTGAGTAATCAAAGCATTTGGTGACTCCACTTTTAACAGGTCAAACAATAGCTCCACGTAACAAGCAAACAAAATCCCCACTGGAGTACAGAGTATAATGGAAAAAAACATTAAAAATAGAACAGTTCAAAGGAACTAATTTTTCCTTAAAGATAACCAAGTTACAGAGTTAAGGCCCAAGCAGAAGCATTGGAAGTTTAATTAACACAGTAAACTCTCAAAAGCAACATAATATTCTTTGCTCAAACTTTACATTAATCTTTGAATTCTATCAACACTTAGGACTGTTGACCAGCTGTTCTCTGCAGCTGCTGGCAGCACCCATTCTCTTCAGGTATGGGCTATGGTTTTATATGCTTTATTTGAGCTTGCAGGCAACTTTAGGATTTTTACTTCCACAGGCACTTTATTCATAAGAACACTCTCCTCACCAAAAGCACATTGAAAATATTTGAAAGTTCTGAGTTACACTACTGCACTGAAACATGTTTCTGTAACACAGCAGCTAAAGCTAAAAAAACCCCACTTTTGGTCAAGTGCATGTCACATGCTCATAAAGGTTTTGTTTTTGCATTGAAACATGCAGCCATTTGCCTCTTAATATTTCTGTAAGTATTGCACTTTCTTTGTAAATTAAAAAAATACAGTCCATTTTTTCTGAAGCATCTAGTAATTAAGACAAGAAAATTATATTTCAATGAGGCTTAGGACTATTATGGATGACTTTGTTCAATCTTTGGCTTTTCCAAGGGTCCTACTATAAAAGCAGGCATGGTGATAAGTAGGAAGACAATCCAGACTATTGTTACTAGACTATCCACCTTCACACAACAAGAACCCCACCCAGCCCTGGTTTTATCCTAGATGGTGGGCTTGTTTCTGCTTTAAGTTACTCTAAACATGGAATATTCTTTGCACTGATATAGAAGTTCCATCACATAGATCTTAGAGAAGCCCATTTACTTCTTGAAGTACTAGGTAGAAGTGGTTAAAGAGAATTTATTCTACTATATGAAGCACAGCAACTTGGGGTACAACCACTTCAGAGCAGAGGGATGTGCTGCAGTGCCACCAGTGCACCTGGGCATGGCACCCGCTCCACACGCTCATGTGTCCAGGTGAATAAAGGGCATCATGCTCATCTAACAGCTGACTCCAGCAGGAATGCCATACCTGTCACAGGCAGATACTTTCACAACCGTAAGCTCACGAGTAAGGGCCTTTAACAAGAACTAAAAGCTCAGTGTTCTCTGTGGATAGAAAGTGTAGGTATTGCTGCCCAAAAAATGCCTCTTGGAACAATCTGGAAGTGCGCTATTATATACAATAAAATCACAACCAAAGACAGGGGGGAAGGCAACAATAACTTCTGCAACAAAAGGCACAAGATAGTTTTTCATCTTAAGAAAAAGTTGCTTGTGAAGCTTTCAAACAAAGCTAGAAAATTACTTTGTTGTTTCACAATCTAAACAATCTAGTTTAAGGTTCTTTCACATGTTTTTATAATGTCCTACTGCGAACTGCCTTGACAATTATGTTGTTTCACTTCTGTTCTTTAGACAGCTACATGGTCATATCCATCACAAGTTGTTTGGGGTTTTTTAAAGTTTCAGCAAAATATACATCTACACTGTATAATCAGTGTCCTCCTAATACAGCTTTGTCCATTTCACATCTCCTCCCCGTCTCCAAGGCTTCAACAGTGATAATGAAGTCAGAGAATTATTTTATTGAAACTACCAGCCTGTCCCTTAATCCTACCTAGTGAAATTCTTAGATTTTCTACTGAGTTTCAGAAAATAAGCTATGCTAAATGCATGAAAATTTAGAATTGGACATATAATTTAGAACAATATACACTCCTAATGTTTTACTGCATTAAAATACTATTTTTTGCCATTTTTATATAAAACAAATAGAAAAGTGTTGTATTTATATAAAAAGCATTTGGAACAGGCTTAAAATGTAGAGAAATTTTATTTTATTGAAAGGTGTCACAACAACTTTCCTTAGTGTTCATGTGTAATAAGAGACTACCAGCTCTTTATAGTAGTTGAGATTAATAGCACCATAAATGGATATAAGGTTTTTGATTTTTCAAGATGTGGGTGGTTATGTAAATAGTCCACCTGTATTCATTAGTACACAGGCTGACAGTAAAAAATTTCAACTTTTATGTGCCAAGTAAACCACATAGGACAATTTCTTCAACGTGTTTTACCAAATTCGCAGTTGACAGTGAAGTGACCATGACAGACAGCACCTCTGGAGGGAAAAGCTAGAAGATGCTCCCATTATTGCTTCTTTTTTTTTTTTTTTTTTAAGTACAGCTAGTGCAATAGTTGGTTTTGGTTTGGGGTTTTATAACACAGTGAACAGATTGCAGCACAAATCACAACCCTAGCTCTAGTACCTCTTGCACATACAGAAAACCATAACACTCAGTTACCTGACAAAGTATCAGTTATAAAGTGTCATCCTGAAAGTTTTACAACATAAAAGCCAACTCTTGCTAATTGTGAAGAATTTCTATGAAAATGACACCCAATTTGCAAAGATCAGTAGAAACTACAGCACCAAAGGTTTCTCAGTTTGCTATTGTAGTAGTCTGCTGCATGGTGTTTGCAGAACTGGACCCTGAAGCTACAGAACAATGCCATCTTATCAGCTTCTTAGCATGCATGCATTACAGCATTCTCATATTGCCTTGTAGGGTTCCTCAGCAGCCAATGTCTTTTCTTGCCTAGTTTTTCCAAGGTTGGATATACAGCTCCAATTGACATAAAGAGCTATGGATAATCAAGATCCAGCCTAGGAGAAGTCCTGCAAGAAAAGCTGTCAGCTAACAAGGATGAAACCCTGTTGCAGCCAAAGTGAAGTCCTGTGCTGTTTTTAGGGAAGTCTTGAGAGTTTTCAAAGTCACATGGAAAGCATGAGAACCACAGCCATCAAACCATTATTTCTGCTTTTACTTTCAGGTTCCTTGGTATACCCTGACCTCAAAAGCTAGCAGAACCTTTTTCACATCTCACACATGCTCTCCTGAATCATGAAAATGAACACAAACAAATGTGCTAAACATTTAAGAAGCAAGAATTGATTCCTGAGGGAAAAGAAGTCCTAGCATGTTAGGTTTTGAAACTTGCAATTATTTTCAAGTACTATTTGCACAAAGATGTGTCTGACAAGAATGCCTTTGGCTTTAGAGTTAATTATGAAGCCTTCTCAAATGTAAATTCTACTCTTCTGTATTGAGCCATTTACAAAACACAATTAGTAGAAGGAGATGCAGTTAGACAGGAGTCTAAACCAGCACAGGCTTCAGCATAAGCAGGATTCTGAGTGGCAACAAACTGAAATAAGCAGAATGCAAACCAAGTTTCTACAGAAGTAACAAAGCACTGCTAAGTTACTCAAAATGTAAGAGGGATTAGAGTTCAGTAATATTGTTTAAGGTTCATACACAAACCCTTCAATGGCAGAGGTAAAAGTAAGCAGGGAGATAAATTTCCTCTTGGTATTCTCAGTACACCTGCCATCTTTAATAAAAAACATGTAGAAAGCAAACAGTCCCACTCATCTTAAATGCAACTTACACACCTGAAGTAACACCGATTTGTATGCTCCGCTGAATTGGAATGCAGCTCTCTGATGTGTGGTTTTACTGCCTTTTCAGCCCCATTTTATAGTTTTGATTTTTAAGTGACCTTCACTTTTTAACTATTGCCACCTTTAGTACTGCACTGTTAGTCCAAAAGAAGCTCAAAAGGACAGGCAGAGATGGCTCACAGCCATCTGTACTGTACAAGTACAACCTGGTTTGCCTTCCTAGGGAAGCTGCTGTATCCAATATTGCTTATGCCAGAGAAACCCCTTCCACACCCATGTGCCTGTGTGGTGCCTAACCCCAACTGCTCGAGATGCTTCTATTTCAGACTCATTTCTGACCACTTTTTCTCTCAATTAAAAAACAAAACAAAAAACCCAAAAGTCATCTTCAAACATATTTCAAAGATACATGGTGAAAATTGAACTCAATTGGCACAAAGGAGATTCTTCTGTAGTAATTCTTTGCAGTGTTACAAATGCTAACCTCCTAAAGACCATATTATGCTGAGAGAAAATGCAAGAGCTAACATTATTATTTAGGCACAGCATGAAAGATTATTTCCCCTAGAAGAAACCCATGCACAGACGCCTCAAAACACCTCATGTACTGCATCCAAGGGATCTGCAATTTTTGCACTGACATTTACCAGAACTAACACCAGTTATATTTAACCATACAGACATAAAGTAAAGGACAAAAACACTCCTCATCCAGCAGAAGGACTGGGTCAACCACTACAGAATCATTTTAAAAAGTGCAAACACTAACTATAGTAGTATAATACAGCATCTTTTTTCAACTGTAGTACAGATAAGACTGCATGTAACATGCAGCCAATATAATTTTAATTCAAAAAGTCACACACTGCTCCTCCCAGTAAGAAGTGGTCTGCTTCTCTTCCCACCTAGTTTGCATCTTAAAGGTTAGTACACAGCCAAAAGCCACAGAAAACAAACAGCTAGCTATTTGCTCAACTCTAAGTCCTTCGCAATTAAAAAAATTTCACTGAAAATGTTGTGGTTTTTTAATCACTGATTTACAGTAGAAAGAAGAAATCTTCAACACCAGTATTTCATATACACGTTCGAGACTGCACAGTATTGTTGCTTCATCTTTAAAAACCATTCAGGCATTGAGTGTTTAGTTAGGAAAGATGAGTTCAGAACTGGAAAGTTTCCTTGAAATACATGAGCTACCTGTATTCAGCCTGACATTCTTATGTGCTGCTTTCTAGGTTAATAGGATTTAATCATATGGTTAAATCCATGGAAACTGAAGCCAACTAGAAAAAAGCTTCAGTATGTTTTAAGCATTGCAGCACTTTGTTCTTGTTTTAGAAACTATTAGTGACAGCTTGTAGGAACAACTTATAAAAGACTGCTAATAATATTTAAGTACTTTAATCTCCAAGCATTTCTCACTGAGTTGGGTTTTGTTCTTATATTGTAAGTTATGGATGAGAGCCAGCAGAGATACACAGCTGTACCATAGAATGATGTGCTTAATACTGCTGCTTGCTTATAGGTCTGGTTTGTTGGGGTTTTCTGCAGAACTATTACACAATTTAAATCTACACTTGGTGCAAGTTAGGTGTAGTTTTAGCTCAATTTCATGCAAAAAGCAATATATGATCACCTTCTACTTCAGTGTTTTCATCTTCCTTCCTTTTGTTGATAAATACTACAACAAATGCCTTTGTCTATTCTGTTTCACAGCACTTCTCTCTGGATTCTAAGAAGCATCCTAGAGCGGCACATGAAGGCTTACTTATAAGCAAAGTTACTTGAATGGCATGCTAGGATATTTTTCTCATGTGTACTTAAGCAGCACTACTCATTTGAATGATGCCTAACAGGAGTATTTACTTTTAAGATACCTCTTCTCAGTAACTGAATTTAAGACATTGATTTTACAATGCCTGGAGAATTGAATACTTCTGTGTTGAAGTGTTCTATCTCATAGCATCACTCTAATTTTGTGTGCCCATATAAGAGTTCTAGGTAAGTCCAAAACATGTATATTGTGAAAATATCAAGATGACAATGGAGTTTTACAACTATTACATCTGCCAGTACAGCAAAATGGTTCCAGTCCATCTGGCAGCTTGGACCCATTTTCAAAATAATTCATTTCAAAATGAATCTTTAAGATTAAAGGTTTATGCATTAAAAAAACCCAAAAACCACAACAACCAAAAAAAAACCCAAAAACAAACCAACAAAACCCAAACCTCCAAAAAATAAAAAAAAAAACCAAAGACCCCACTAACAAAGAAAAAAATCCCACAAGCAAACATAAAAATCAACATAGAGCCATGGGAAAGCTCATTTAAAGTTAAGGGAAAGACTTCACCTTGCACTTAAGCTAATGGATCTGTCTCTAGAACAGTAAATCCCATCTAATGAAATGAGAAAAAGAATTTGGGTTAGTACCAAACAACTTGGGATAAACTGTCTACTCAGATACTACTGATAAGAGAAAGCCAGAGATTGAACACATTCTGATTTAAGACCCTAGTAAGTGGATTTGCAATAATCCAATTGAGAGAATGGTCTCATCTCTTTTAAGACTTTCCAGTTCTATCTCTGTTGCTGAGCTTTATTTCTCTATTACATGAAGGTAGTGTATTTTAACAAACTTTTTTTAGTTTCCTTCCCTCCCAACCATTTTTTTTTTAAGGAGGGCAGCAAATCCTGTACCAGGGTTCATAGCAGTGTTTAGCAGAGCTATTTTTGCTACTACGCCACCTGTGGCGATCTTTCCAAGAAAACAGCAGTGAAGGATGACTAACAGTTAGTACCTTTTATGTCCACATGGGAGTGCTAAGCACGTACCGAAAAAGGTGTCCATTTATAGTGCTTTCAAGTAGACGTTAACAATTTCTGGCATTAGGTGTAAGCATCTGTAGCACGACCACTTAGCAGCATACTTCTTTAAATGTTCAAGTTAACATTTAAAATCCAGATTTAAATTTACATTAGGCATTTTAAGAAAGCCCACCATCATTTAAGTCATACTGATATGATAGGTTAGGTGTACAAATGTAGTGGGGTTTTTTTATTAAGTGTCTGTAAAGCTCAAAATGTAAATGCTCTTCAGTCGAGAGGAGCATGTTATAGTCACAGGAAAGGGGCAGCTCATGTGACATCTTAGAAATGTTACTGTAACTAGGAAAAAATCATTAGTGACACACTGCTAAGTATTAGGCATATACAGACCAAATAATATACCAACCACTTGATGGCAGGCCTAAGGAGAAGCCCAAGTTTCTCCTTTTTACCTATTGCAATTTCTTGCTTCTTGTGATGAAACCATACTTTAAGCTTCATGGTATTTTTATACAATGATGAACAAGATGTTACAATTATTAATTTTTACATAGCAGTTGTAGTTTGTATTGGATAAACTACTACAACAGTAAGAATTAGAATATACCATTACTTACCCCATTTTATCACCTTACATATAGGCCTAAAGAGTCATCAAATACAGCTGTACCATCCAAGTTTGTAAAAGCACTTAAAAGCTATTGAGAGCATAGAAAATTGGGGCTTTCTGCTAATTAAACACACATCCCTTTGAGAGCTTTCATACAATGGATAAATATTAAGTACTTAAGGGAGGACTGAGCCAGAACAGGAATCAAGTATTTTGAGCTAGAGCTGCTACTTAAACTTTCCTGTTGCATTACAATAGAAGTCTCTATCAAATTCAGCAGTACAATGAAAGCTCACGCAGCCCAACAAAAGCAGAGTCTTTACTTTGTTCTATTTAATCACTTTCACATTTTTTTCTTTCAGAAACAGGAATAAGTGTAAAAAACCCCAAACACCCCATCCTGCATGAAGAAAGCCTGTTTTGCAGATCTATTACAGAAATCCCACTGTCAAAGTGTTTATTTTTCAGCCACTAGATGAAAACCACTGCTTAAGCCCCTTAGGTAAAGCTTTTCATCATGCTATTTTCAAGGCACAGTGACTACTAAGGAAATCCGTAACTTCTAAAAGATCGTATTACTACAAGAGGATTAACATGACCACACTTACGGTATCACAAAGCTTAGATTTTAACTTTAAAAATTATGATCCATGAAGTAATTTTCTTAACTAAGTTTTTCCAAAAATGTATTGAAAGGAACACTTTTTATTGTATTATTTTGATAATGCACAAAAATATTTGAAATGCACAAAAATATTCTCATGTACAACTGAGAGAAATGATCCCCTTAACTGAAAATTATTATATTGGAATACTCTAATTTTATAACTTTAACTCTGGACTTTTTAAAAACAAGTTGTCATTATTTAAACTGTGTTCACACTTGTCACTCAGTTCAAGACATTTTTAAAATATGCAGCATTTCATTTATATTAGTATCACCTCAATACAATGCAGTTTTATCTTTTCATTAGGTTTTAGTGAGTATCTGAAAATAATATTGAGTTAACTGCAGAAATTAATACAGAATACAAATGGCTAAACATGGTGTGCTAATTTTCTACTTTGCTTTCACAACAATATGAAACAACATAAACCAACAAGAAACAGGTAGCTGTTAATCTGTGGGTTTGTTACATGTTCACCTCATGGTAGTTTCCCCCATTCTCAGCCAACTTGTTTAGATAGCCATTTCAGCTGGACTTCAAACGTGGGAAAAAAAGGTAATCTGTTTTTGAGTTCTACCACAGTGTTATTCAATATGAAATTATGTTGTAATTGAAGAAATGCTGCTGTTGCAGATATTTCATCTTAGCACTTTTTTGGTTGTTTTTTTTTTTAAAGTAAGTCACAGAAACATATGTCAAGAGGTAAAAGACAAAAGAAGAAATTCAGTGGAGAACCATGGCTCCCAAGCAAACCTGCTACATAGCTTCAGCAAGAGATTGCTACTAAAATTAAAATGTTCATTTTAAATGTAGCCCCATTTTGGACCTGGCCTTGCAATCCTCAAGCAGGTGAGAGCTGTACAACTTCTGCCTGCATCAAGAACTCTAGGATTACTCTTCCCAGTAAATAATTTTGTTTACAGTATGTGCTTTTGTGTAAAGCTGCATCTATAGACACTGACAGGCACTGGTAGAGCTATATACACAAGGCCAGCTGTAATTCAAGATTCAGATTTTGAAACTGTGTCTCTTACTAAAAATAAAATTTTAGGCTCCTTGAGCTCTGATGCTAGCAGCTGTTTATAATTTGCAAATTTGTCAGGTAACACAGCTATTTAAATATAAAATTACTAATAAAAATGTAAAAATTGGTATATAGTAGAATACATGGGAGTTAACGGTGGTAAGTAGTATTTTAGGGTCCTAAGATATTCATACCCACAGTGTGTAAAAAAAGTCAGACTTGCTTCCAGCTGTACCAGTCACACAAAGGCCTTACCTTCATTAGCAAGAATAATGCAACAAACCACTTCCCATAATTGTGTTATTTTTTTATACACCTCAATATGCCAATATCGTGCCCTTACATGTTAGCATGTTTTTGCCCTTACGCACTCCAGAGCTCTGAAGATGAGACTTTTGGGTGCTTCTGTGGATGAGTGATAGTAATGGAAGTGTTACTGTGGTCTTTGGCACCTCTATCTCATTAATAAACACAGTCCTGCTCCATTTTTTTCTTTAATAAAAAAATCCCATCAGTGGTGCATTTCATTAGCACTGAAGAGTAGAATAGGTCTGTACAGCCGGATGAGAGGAAAACATCTGAAATGCAATATATGCGTCTACAATTGTCTTTCCATCAATTGCACAGAAGCTTGGTCCACTTCTTCAGTTACAGTCTTCTTAAGAGCTTTGGTTACAGCATTAATGTTTTGGTAAAAAAAAAACCAAAAATGAAAAAACCAGAGCAGATGCTTTTCTTCTTTTCTTCAGGTAGATTTTTCATTGTCCTCTCCGGTCTTCTGAACCCGTGAATACTTTTTGCATGAAGATTTGAAGCAGCTGGGAGGCCAAGATATTGGCCAGGAAAAACTGCAAGGAACAGAGCCCTGCACATTCTTCTCGAAGAAATAAAATATTGGATACCACCATGCTCGAGAGAGAAAATTCGTCTGCGAAGACACCTTTAAAGTCTGTATTGGCACAAGCATGTAAAGAGGAAAAGGCAACTGTCAGTTTAAAGGCTTATAATCAATTACATTGAGTCAAGGCAACAGCAAAAACACAATGCATGTGCATGCATTTCCACAAAGACAGTGAATATTTAGCCTAAAAACACAGAATTGAGACAGATATTAGAGTCCAAATAATACTACAAACTGAGCATTTTTACCACAAAGGGATGCTTTGTTGCTGTGCAAAATTTGGGGCAACAAAGCACTCAAGACTTTTTCAATATGAGTGCTTTCAGGCATGTCATGTTTCCACTGATGAGTAATAGTTGAGAATTGGACTAAAAGGGCTTAACAACTTTCTACTTGAAAGCGTTGTTGAAACAACAGCAGCAACAACCTTCTGAACTGTGTACCTTTAATGACATTTCCACAATAATTGTCATTAGAATTGTAGGAATGTCTAGGTAATATCAGTTATCCAGAAATTTTATTACTCAACTACTGTTTATTCATAAGCTGAGACAAAGAACCAATGACAGCATTAAAACTTCAAAAGCCCAAAAAAAGGGACAAATTAATATTATTTAATTAAATAACAATGAAGTGAAACTCCTTGCCCATTCTGTTTCAACTTCAATATGGAACATCTATTTTTATTCTGAAATTAAGAACTAACTTTAAGCTTCGGGCAATTTTAACAAAAGCAGGCTACACAGTGATTGTGAAGGGCACTCACCTTTTCATTAGCCATGGAGTGGTACCACCAGAAGAGCCGTGTGGTGATATAGTAGGCAATGATGACATCTACGGTGTAGTGTTCATGAGCAACAAGGATACAGATGATGCCAGCAGCACTCATCAGCCAGCAGATCAAGTGATACCACCAGAAATGACGTGGTGAATCTGTGAGACAGGGAGGTGATGTGGAAAAAACACAGCAGAAAGCCATCTGTTATTCTAACAATCCACAAAAGCAAGGGGGAAAGAAAGGAAAATTAATTTAAGGCTGCTAAATTTGAAAACATAACTCATATCACACCGGTACAGATCTACTACCACACTGGTACAGATTCCCTGTTTTGATTTGTATGAATCCACATAATGAATTACACAAACTTAATGCAGTGTTCTTACTTTTTAAAGTGAACACAAGATGTTTAATCTTGAACACAAGATTACTTAGACAACACTGCCACCCATTTTCTAGTTAAATAATTTCTAGGATTTAGGGTGCAGAGAAAGAGACAAAATTGAGGTAAAACATACACTTTGGTTATTTAACGTGGTTGTATATAATGTTTTCTTTTCACAGTCTATATTTGAGTAAACTGAAAGCTCTAGAATTGATACAACCTGAGCAGAGATCACAAATTAAACAGAAAAGACACTCATTTTAATTCTTAAGTTTTAATTAATTTGCATGAAGCCTCAGTTCCATGCAACAAAATACACTGTACAGAAAAGGGCAGTACGTGAATTTATACCCTTTAATGAAAGATTTAACAAATGGGAGCAAAGCTATTCAAAATGCATTTCAGCCACCTCAATGGAAAAGTTCTCCTGTACTTCTTTCCCCATTGAAAAAATGCCCTGAGTGTCACAATGATCATTCATAACTTCTGACAAGCTAACTGGCTTCATTTCACTCACAGTGGGAGGTTTTGGCGCCTCTTGCCTTGTCAGCCTTTACTTTCACACAATACCAGCAGAAAAGTTACTGATCTCAACAAGCCTGCCCAGTAGGCTCTCAGAGGCCTGTGCAAAACAATAACTGTAGTGCCACTTTTTGGTGCAAGTGTCAAAACAAATTCTCTTAACTCTTCCCAAAACCCTGCAGACAGATCTCCATCTACTGATTTTTTATTTTTTTTAAGATAAGAAGCCAAGTAATCGCAAGAAGATGATGAAAACAGCATTGAGCAAGACAGACATACCAAGGCTAAAAATATGAATAACTATTCTGGTGAAAAATGGTGTGCAGACAATAAGTGAAAAAATGGCAGAATATGAAAGGAAGAGAAAAGCAGAGCAAAAACTCCACTAAGCCAGACATAAAAACCTCAGCATGTATCTTACACCAAAGACATGTTACTGAAAGAGCAAAAAAGACTGCCACAAGCAGCCTCTACTTCAGAGCAATTATTGGGCTTATGCCCTGGTTCAGATAACATTTTGGTCATTACATGGGAGGTAAAAAAAGGAAAGCTATGCATTTCTCATTTAGAGAGCATAAATTCAGTGAAATATATGCATAACAATTAGGCAGCAGTCAAAGAGCTTATTACAAAAATTTGTATGATAAAATTGCACCAATCCCTTATAATATAAAGCACAGGAGAAACTAGCCCAGAAAATATTGGGTTGTCTTCATGTTTCCTGGTACAATTGAGTATGTGAATAGCATTAAAATACAACATAACAGACAAAACAAGGCAAACAATGATGATTCTCAGACCTGTCTAAGAATCATCAGACTGTAATCAGCATCTTAAATCACTGTTCAAAGAAGAACATCTCAAATCTGCAATTTGGAGTCTATCACATTCAAGAGGTCCTTTTATATTGGGATTTTTTGCTTAAGGCAGAATGCAGCACTGCAGCACCTTGTTCCCTCAACATTTTAATAAAAGGAAGGCATCAAACTAATGCTGTTGAGTCTTATTTTTGTTTCAATGGGAACTCCACATTCCCATGAGCCAAGCTAGCATTTGCATCGTTTGGGATACAACAATAGGAGGGAAGACTCCAACTCCAAACATGCGAACTGAGAAGGGAACTCCCCACTACATATTCATGAGTGGCCAAGCTCCCAGGATAGAAGCACTGTTTACCATGTATTAGATTTAGAAGTCAGTGCTAAGTTGTCTAACACTTCAATAGATGCTCTCAGTGCAGCACAGAAGATTTTTTTCCTCCCATACCCCAGAGCAACATAAAACAAAGGGAGAAACCATAACTGCATCTTCTGCAGGCTTGCCAAATTCTTACCAACTACAAGAAGCACTAAGTAGGAGACTCAAGCACAAGACATCCAAAGATCATGAATTAACTTTTCATTGCTTGCAATAACTAATGTACAGCCCACCTGAGAAAAGTCACTTTGCTTCTGGATGCAGTGTAAGTGTGCAATGATGCTGTGGTCAAGCCACAAAATTCCCTACAACCCCAATTCAGCTAACCTGCACAGAGCTAGCGTGCACAATTACTAGAGCATGTTTTATCCAAAATTTAAATCATGTGGCAACAAACAATGAAAAGCTATCTTGTTTTAATCAAGAAATAAACACATAAGGTGACATGTTTAGCCACAATTAGCCCTCAATTAAAGCACATAACACTTTTAGTCAGCCTTACCACAATCCCTAGGAAGGTGATGGAACAGCTCACCCTTGAGGCCATCACTAAGCTTGTGGTCAGGAGTAGTTAGCATGGATTCACCTTAGCGGAGTCACGCTTAACCAGCCTGACAGCCTTTAAAATCTGGACAACTGGCTGGATAGATAACAGGAGACAACTGGATTTGTCTATGTGAACTTCAAACAAGACTTCTGACACTGTCTCCCATGAGATCCTCACAGGCAATGCTGGACAATTGGTGAGGGTGGGCTGAATGGCAGGGCTTGGAGGGTTTTTAATCAGTGGCACAGTCTAGCTCAACCCAAAGGTTCATACTGGGTCCAGCATTGTTTAACTTACTCATCAGAAACTCAGCAAGTCTGCTGAGGATACAAAGCTCAGAGGACTAGTGCTGTGCTGTCCTTCAGATCATCACGTGCACTGGAGGGATGGGCAGGGCAGAATCCTTTGAAACTCAGCAAGGGCAAGTTCAGGGTCCTGCACTTGGGATGGAAGAACCTGGTGCACCACTACAGGGCAGGGGCCAACCTGCTTGAAAGCAGCTCTGCTAAGAAGTACCTGGGGGTCCTGGTGGCCAAGCTGTCCATGAGCAGTGCCCTCATGGCCAAAACGGGCAGAGTAGCCTAGGGTGTATTAGTAAGATCATTGCCAGCAGGTTGACAGAGGTAGTCCTGACCCTCTACCCAGCCCAGTGAGGCACATGTGGAGTTCCAGGCTCCCTAGTAGAAGACAGATGTGGACCAAGTCCAGTGGAGAGCCATGAGGATGATTAGGAAACTGGAGCACCTCTCTTATGAGGAACGACAGAGGAAAATAGGCCTGCTTAGACTGAAGTGTGAGAGGAAACCTCATCAATGTGTGTAAATATTTGAATGGAATGTGTCAACCAGGCCCTTCTCATTGGTGCCAAGCAATAGGACAAAAGGCATCAAGCAAGAAATGATGCACAGTAAGGTCTACCTAAATGCAGGAAGAACTTGTTTACTGTGCAGGTGACCACGCACTGGAACAGATTGCTCAGAGAGGCTGTGAAGTCTCCCTCACTGGAAACATTAAAGAACTGTCTAGACACAATCCTGCAGGATGTGCTCTACAGAACTCTGCTTGAGCAGAAAGGTTGGGCTAGATAACCTATTGTGATACCTTCCAACCTTATCCATTTTTATGATTTTACTATGCCACAGTTCCATTTCCACTCAATTTGTGTTTCAAATCCATATAAATAGTCTGTGTACAACTGGCAAGTAACTTTTGGAGGGCAGTAGTTTTACACATACTTTTGTCATTTGTTTTCCTGGTACAATGAATATGAACAAGAAAGTGCATTGAAATGCAATCACTTACACTCTTTGATGAACAGATAGACCAGCGTTAATACTACAGTGTGTCCACTAAACAGGAAGTCTCCACACAGGATGTGTGATCCAGTTATGGATAGACCACCACCAGAAATCAATCGCAGGATTCGCTGAACCTTTGCCTGAGAGTCTCCGTTCAACTAGAACGCCAGAAAGAAGAAAGAAGTATCGTAAGTGACCCAAGTAAACTTCTTGCCCAAACACATGTAGAGTCAGGGAGATAGGGATAAAAGGACAAATTATCTTAATTTTCTTCGGGTTTCTTTCACACATTCTTAAACAAATAAGTATGCGTTTCAAAGTTGACAGGTGACAAAGATCAGTTTGGTAACACTAGCATTCTGTCTATACTTCCCCAGGCTATGTTAAAATACACATTGTATGAGAATGAGATGCAGAATATACCAAAAAGGTAAACATTAAAAATTTGTAAGGTCAGATCTGTCATCGTAGCAGCTGACAGAATCAATGAAACCCATTAAAAACTGGTACCTTGCATGCAAATTCTGGTATTCTGTCCAGAGCTGACTAGTATTTCTACTGAGTAAAACCCTCAAACTCACTTCATTTTAGATTTAGTTACAAACTCATTCGGGACTTAACTCCTATTTGTAGGATGTAAATTTTAAAAGCATTAGGACCAGCTTTTCATTTCTTATAGATACTAGGCAGTTTTATCTAGCTGCTTTAAATTAATTCTAGGGAAAAAGAAAAAACCAAACCAAAAAAAGATAACTGTTTTCCATAATCAGAAAACTATTCACATACAAAAAAAAAAAATCCAGAAGAATTATCATCAACTGTTTTTCCAGAGTTCAAGTAATTAATCCTGGTTTAATGCTAGAAAAATGCACTTTCAGCAGAGACATTTGCATTTTCCTTTGATTACCTCTTCTTACTCTTCCATACATTCTATTACACAGTCATTCCCCAAGCTATTAGAACAAAACCATTGAATCTTTCTAATAGTGGCAGTTAAATAAATCATTTTCAAAAAAATGCTGATTCATAAGATAATTATTTCATCCACTATATCCCTAAGTTGTCTCAAAGTACAAGACAACAGCCATGATACTGTGACTCAAGACTAGAAATCTTATCCAAGAGGTGACAAATTTACTCCCCCACTAAACTGGCAATACTTTTTTCAGTACAGCTAACACAATAGAGTTTGTTCCCAGGAATTTTAAGTCTACAACTTTTTATTAGTAACCTAAAGTGGGAGTAGCAACTCCTTTATGTCACCACTTAACTCCAGAGTCATTAGATTTTTAAAGAATTTTTGTAAAACTATTAGTACTTCCATGTTTCTGTATGTATCAGTTCATTTATGCAGCTGAACTTAAGTCACATTTCTATAATTTTTGCAGGGTGGAAATGGAGACAGGCACCTGAATTCAGGTATTTCAATAGCTCTTGACCAAATAGTGTGAGAAACTATATATAACAGTGTGGGTTTTCACAGGAATACAGTAACAAAAGCTTGCATATCAGGTTATGAATTACAGTATTGACCTTGGGTATCCTACCATATAAGAAAAAATATTGCTACAGTATTAAGAGTGATTAGCTTGAGCCTCAGAAGCAAGTTGATTGATTTAGTAGCAGCACTATTTCAACCTAAGATGTGCTGCAAGGGAGCAGCCAGCTGCATCAACAATTTGAGGCTCTGTTATTACACAAGTTTTGGTTTATCACTACCTATGTTTCTGAAGACATCAACTGAAGTAATTTGTGTTATTTGGTAAAACCTGAAATATTATCTTCTATTTGATCTAAGGAGCCATCAGGACTGATGCAGAGACTTATGGCAAGAAGCAAGAGGCAAAGACTCTTACCTTTGGCGCACACTGAAAATGCATTCCAGGCACAGGTAAGGTGGTGACGTACATGGTAATACAGCGGTACAGATACAAAGTTCCTATTATAAAAAAGAACCTGCGTCCCACTATTGATCTGAAAGTAAGGAAATGGGGGAAACAGACTGAGTGCGAAGTTTACGTGCAGGATGTGCAACAGTTATGGAGCTCTAGCTTCATTAGACAGCTGAATCCTTAGAATGAAAGGGCAGATTCACCCCAGCTCTTCACCACACACTTCTCTGAATCACGTATTAAAACATCCCTCTTCAGCTTTTAGTCTTGTTAGCTCCTTATAGTGTGAAGCTCACGTCAATTTAAGATGGCCTCAGCCTAACTTACAGGTGTGGCCAGGCAGTTCTCCTCAACTCCGTGACCTTTTCTTTTTAGTCCACACTATAACCCCATTCTCGACTTAAATATATACAGTTTAAGAAAGACACAGGAGAAAGCTTCTATTTAGCTGTAGAGGACAGTGGATTCTTCCTCAAATTTGGATGAGATTTTCTTACACCATCATGATTTCCCCAGTTTAAACATCCCCGGGTCAGTAAACACACTTTGAAAAGCCCAGTCTCAGAATAAACTTGACTGGTACAACATAGGTGTCAGAAATGCAGAATTCAAAGACATTATTCAATAATCAGAAAATCTGTATTTCCATATCTGGCATAGACACTAGAACATTTTGTAAACAAGACATCCCTTTGTTATTTTCCTGCCAGCCCTATTCTACAATATTGTTAAGGATTTTACTGTCTGACTACTTCTAACCAAAATAAGCAATGTAAACATATTAGCAGACAAAAAAAATATTGCTAACTCACTTGTATCTAAGAAACAACCACTGGAATATCCATAACCCAAGTAGTATCATTCCATTTATTTCTGATACAGAAAAAGCCCATTTCACACGATCAATGTAATCAAAAAATTTGTCAGGCAAGGGAGGGCTTAGCTCCTTTGGAGGTACTCTCTCATGGACCACAGTGATCATGACAGTTGTTAAAATCAAGTTGAAGAGAGCATAGACAAAGGCGATGCCTGTTTTCCACCATTCCAGAGGAAATTTGTTCCTAGATTCAGCAGGCATAGCAATCTGGATGTAATCAGGATACTTCTTTGCTGTTTTTCGCAAGCCATTAGACAAGCCCTTTGGTTTGCTAGTGCCATTTTTGTTCTCTTCACTGACTGAGAGAGTAGGTCGTGAGTAGCCATTAGAAGTCTCATTTGGCTGACCCTCCATGTGCTCTTCAAGCTTTGCTGTCTCAATGGTATTCATTTCCAAGCTGTATGGCCAAAGAGTCTTTATTAGTGACCAATTTCTGGGCTCTCTGAACTCTGTTATTCCTCAAAGTCCAAAGTTCTTGTTCCTAGATGACTTCTGTAGAACTCTAAAATGCATCCATTGTGCTTTCAAAGGAATTTGTGAAGACCAATCCTTCTTCTAGAGATGAATCATCTGCAAAAAGAAAAAAAAAAAACCAAAACATACTGAGGGCCTTGATAACTAGTAGTGTAACAGTGAAGAAAATATTCTCAGAACAGGCATTAAGTATTTCAATTCCATCCCAGTCTACGTAGAAACACAGTCAAAAGGTAAATTACTGTGAAATAATTCAAGCCAACTCCTCTTGATAAATCTCGTATCAGTTTAAGAACTAGTACCAACTTAGGCTTGGGTTTTTTTAAAGGACAAGATCCACAGACTTTAATGATCATGACATCATTTGCTTTATCAGTTATCAGAACTAGGGCTAATCCATATTTGCAGCAACATTGAATTTTACTGTTTAGAGATATTCCATGCAAAATATCCTGATTTTGACCATAGGGTTGCTGTAGATATTATGGATTGTCCATATAGATCAGACAAATCTTGTCAGTTCAGGTGACTGGACAAAAACCAGAAGGGCAACACAGAATTAAATTTTGTAGGGCATAAATTAATTTAGATTAATCTAGAAAATCTACTCAATAGATAGCCTCATTAAATTTCATTAGCTCTAAATGAGTATTCCATCAAGTCAAAAATGTATTTATACAGCCATTGTAATACCCACTAAATGTCTGAAATTTCAGATAACTGAGAAATATATCCCTGGATTAGATTCTTAGTTATGGCACACTACACACAGAACAGATGACAAATGAACCTGTGTTTGTCCTTTAGCTACTTTAAAAACAAATCTATTGAGACTGTTTTTAAACAGGAACAAACAGAGTCATTATTACTCAGGATTTATTTCAGCCTGCATTTGCTAATTCAGAAAAGTTTTGCAAGCTAAAAAACCAGGTAAGTGCATATGTTTTATAACAAGTTTTTCTACAAGGAGCAAAGAATTAAGTTCATCTCTAGTGAACAAGTATCTCGCTAGTAAAAATAAAGGCCATTTCCCCATCTTTACAGTTCTGTGAAACCACTTACTCACCATAGCTGTGGTGTACCTATTTTTCTTATTCTGTTCAGCTCCTATGACAAAAATAGTATTGCCATGTACAAATTGCTCCCCATCTATCAGTAAATTGTGATTCTCTCTTATTTTAGTCATTCCTGCAAGAAAAGTTCAGCACTGCCACCCCTTCCAGTCTCTGCATGCCAACTGCAGGCTGCCGGTCTGCCATGCTTTGTGTACAATTAAGTCACCATGATGGCAGCTAGAGCTGATGGTCTCCCTAACCATACACCACAAGACTTAAGAACATGCCACCTGCTTACAGGACAATCTAAACCAAAAAGGGCCTGGAAAGTCAAGTGATTGTGTTTTGGTCCTTCCAGCCTCATCCCACCCAAACAGAGAAGACATTTAACAAGGTCAGCACATAAATCTCACTGATTTCCTGGGTGCTGCTCCAATCACTGAAAAGAGAAGTAAAATTCAGATCCCAAATATGAGATTCATACAAATAATACCAAAATAGCTGAGAAGCATTTCTAAATTTATCCCCAGCAGTGTTTCTGAACCATTGTCACTTGCTGACCTTCTCTAAATTCCTGATCAACAAGTGTATGATAACTATCCATACACAACACATACAAACAACAAACACCAAAGAAAACAAGTGATTTTTGATGCTTTTTCTCCCTCTTACCAATCATATTGTGATCTCTGCATCTCTAAGAAAAGGGCATGTTTAACCCATCAGCCAGACAACCACTTCTCTGATGCTTCCTACAACTAAAAATACCCTTTTAGAGCATCTACAAAAGCAACAGCCTTACTCAAAACTTTACCAGAACAGTATTTCAGCTTTCACAAGTCTTTTTCTTAACACACACACACACACTCTACTACGAGATAGAAGGAATACAGAAGTTAAGCATATGACAGTGACAGTAGAAAAAAACCCGGAACCTAATTGCTTATGTTTTGGAATGCATGTACCTAACTAACATTCATCTACTAAGTTAAGACTCCACTTCTCACCATTATGTTCCATATAGCAGCCACTGAGGCAACAAGCAGCAAAACCTGGTAAATTTTACATCCTGTGCAGTAGAAACATTATTAGAATTATGCATTAACTGAGAGAAAACGACCTTAGTTATTTCCTTCTCTTCCCCACAAATACCTAACCTAGTGTGCCTAGTGACATAAGTGAAAGATTTTACTTTCAGATGTTCAATGACATCCAAGCAAGCCTTAAAGATCAAAGAGTATCAGAAGTACAGATGACCAATAACATAAGAACCTAAAAAAGTCGAGTGGTGCTCATGTTCTCATATTAACTTATTAAGCAAAACAATTATAGCTACAGCTTGCAGGAGAAAGTTGTGTTCCTTCCTGGTGCTTTTAAATGGATTGTAAGGCATATTGATCTACCAGTTCTGATGGCTCATCAAGATTATTTCAAGCAGAGTGCATACTGCAGCCAAAAGTTTGTTTACATTGATAATTAAAGGTGCTATATATCATATGATGAGTGAGCTGTAAGAAGGTAAGTGCTTCCCTTTATAGTACCTTTTCAACCTCTTTCTCCCATATTCTAAAGGAAATTAGCAACTCCATTGAAGAAAAACACAAAAGTCTCTCTTGAAGCTCTCAGTCCATTGCTGCCAATCTGACTGGCCAGAGAAGTGACAGATACAGAGCACCAACAGCCTAACCATCCTCTGCTACTGGCTGTAAAGGAGCACCCCAGAAGTGCACAGGTTCTTCTGCCAAGTTCCTGTCCCCAATTCAATTATCCATTCACACACCCATAAGTAGTGTGGTTCCTTTTAGCTTCATGCTGTCCTTATGATACTTTTGATAAAATATCTATTTGATGTTTTTTGTCAAATCCAAAACATCCCCATATCAAAACCAGAAGATGCCCACAAACTGCCTAGTAGAAGGCCTTCAGCAACCAGGCAGCAATGCTTATATCTTGCCAACACCTAGGTCTGAAAAACATACAAAATTGCTCTAAAATAGGGAGCAACTACCGGGGAAGTCACAAACTCACAAAAAACTGGCCAAGTAACCCAAAAGGATAAATAAAATACCTATAAGGGATACCTCCAAGTTTAGGAACAAGTGTTCTTTTTGGAACCACTTCTATACCTTCTAAGAATGAATGTTATAATGAAGCAGAGCTTCTGAAGAAGCAACTTTACAGCAGAAATCATCAGAAAGCTGCCTCAAGGAACAACATACTTCAAAGAAAATCTTTAGAATTAAAAAGATGCTAAAAGTGGAAGTGTCCTTATATTTTATCCTGAGCTCCTGCCTGCTCCCATGCAAATAGCATCCCTTAGTTTTCTGCATCCCCATTTGACTGTCATTTGAAAGAAAATAGTTGATGTGGGGCACAGCTTTGAGACAAGCACCAGAAAGCATGTCTGCATTTGGCTCTTTGTGCTAGAACTTAAGAATACCAGAGTTTTATTTAGCTTGTTAGTCATCCGATTTTCATCTAAAGGTCATTTTCACATAAAGTTAGCTCCCAAATAGTATTTCTCATCCAGTATTGGAACTTGAACATTTCTCAAAATATTTTAATTTCTACAATTTATGAAGGACTGAATAGTCACCATTTGCACAGGGTTTTCAAATAAGCAGTTCTTAACCTGCTGTTTAAATACTACTTGAACAAGAGTATCCAAAACAGTGAGAGTGATCTATTCTGACATAGAGAAGCTGTACTTTCATATACAAAATGGAAAAGACTTCTGATAGCACTATTTTAAAGCTCATTCACTTTTGTTAAGGCTGGCTCAAACATTTGATAGAGCTGTATTCTTGTACTTGGTAACTGAAGAAAAAGGGTCTGCAAACAAAGTACAATTTGAAGTAATTTATCTATATCACACAGTTACTGGGAGACAATTTTTAGCTAGCTTGTATTTTGATCAGTTACATTTTCAGGACTACCTATGGAACTAGAACTAAAAAAGAAGCCAGGTTACCACTGTTATCTAGACAGCAATGAATAAAAACTTGCTGTTAGGAGTTTCTCCTTCATTTTGATTTTTGAACGCATTCCCTTCTTCCAGGCTATATGTACATCTCACAGCATGCAGGCTCCTAGAAGGAAGAAAAGTCCAACACCACCCAAAACCTCCAGAAGACAACTGCTGTGATGCTAAAGAACTGCAAGTAAAGCAAAGCTGGATTATTATTATATTATTATACTGTTCATTATTATCACTTGCAGCAAATGTTAGCTTTTTTATTAAAAAAAACATTAACTACTCACATAGTACAAAATTCTTTTCAGCAGTAGAAATAGAGCAGTTACTCTCTCTGCCTTCAGAGAGGGATTTTGCAGGTCCTCATTTAGGATTACTAACATACCAACAGAAGACATCTTTAAGGACTAAATCCCTACACTAAATAGAGAAGAAAAGCTTCAAAGTTACAGGTTATCCATATGTACAAACCAGGTTTTACCAGTCCTGTGGAATTCTGTTTCTTCATACCTCTTAATAGTAAAAAGTATGTTAGGTTTCATTTTCCTAGTGATTCATTATCCAGTGTGTTCTATAGCAGTGCCAGGTTTCCCAAAAAGCACAAACACCCCCCCCCCCCCCCCCC